TAAAATAAAATAATTAAGGATGGTATACACTATATACAGTAAACGAATTATTATTATTTGTAGCCGCCAATCAAAATACGTGCTGGTGAATTACGGATAAATGGAGGCATGTACAATTGTATATCATACGATACAGTATACATATATATACATCGTATGTAATACTGCAATCAAAATGTATCTGTACAGCTGTAAAACACATTATCGTTTGAATTCATTATTTAATCATTTCACATTTTTACATTTCACCTTCATCTGTAAATTTTAAAGGTTTAATCATATACTCGTATTTTATATTTGATAGATAATGCTTCTAATGCTATGATAAAAAGCAAAGTATTAGAAGCATTATCCGCTGTATATGTGGTATACCAATGATCAATGTATACCAATGTAGTGAAGTATGTAAAGAACCGATTAAACTGTACCCACAAAAAAAAACTTCTAAATTGCAAAAAGGCAATGAACACGCTGATCGCGTACGAATCGACGCCGACAACATGTTGTATTTCACTTATTACCTAACCTTTTCAGAAACTGGCTGCCATACGTTTGGTCATAGCACTATAATTAAGAAATGTGTACAAATATCTACGCATCGCAGAACGTACTGTCCATTAAGGAAACGCATTTTAAGAGATTACGTATACCGCGCGATTGCGAGAAACGAACGCGCGAGCCGTATATGTATTTAACGCGAAACCGGCACATGATGCATATGCACTTCGTAGATTTGTTTTTCGGTTGGAGAGATAATTGCCGGAAGGAGAATATATGGGCGCACCTCGTGATCCATACAATGGACTACATGCATCCGTGCGAACGCAGGTGCATATGTATATATGCGATACATTACAGACCACCACTTTTCTCGTGGTTCCACGTAGCACCATTGCGTGCAAAACATTTTCGATAATTATGCTACTGTGTATTGTATCGTTTGTGCACCTCGAACATATGTAACAATTAAAACATGTCATTTTATTGTTACGATTGATAATGACTTATCTCGATACATGCATTATAAAGCGTTTGAGAATTTAATGACGAACGAAGAAATTGTTACACAAACTATGCAGTTATGTTGCAACATACTCGTATATCTATATATATGCTCGTATCTGATACATAAAACTCTTGATTCCGATTCAATGACACAGTAAATAATCCCGTCAAGTGTCGGCTCAATGTACAGTAATAGTCTATTAGTTTTGTAATGGTACACATAGCAAAAAAAACAGTATTTAAACATGTGCACACTTAAATGACGGTGTAAATAATATCATTTCGAGACCCCTTTTTGAAAAAAAAACAAAGATTTGATATATAGGCGCAATTAGAATATAAAACTTACGAATTTTAGTAAAGATTAAAGTTGCCGACGCACATACGTACTGCATAAAAGTGCACATACAAAGCTGATAATTTTAACCGTAGCATAAAGGAAGCTTAATGTAGCAGTTTTATGATGCCCGAATGATGATATACTTCTTTAATTTATTATTTCCACTATTATATATTACCATTTTACAATGTTTGTAAATTGTAATTATACGTTGTTACTATTTCACTTTATTTTTGATATTATATATTATTATATATTATTATATATTATATATTATTATATATTATTATATATTATATATTATTATATATTATTAACTAATCATCATTATTGACCGTCAAAAATTTTACTGTTTTCATCCTTATATATTATATTTCTTCAGTACTGCAATAAAAACAGTGTTATTCCTCTATTTTAAATCTACAATAATGTGAAATTTTGCCGAATAGAGTGACGTAGGCTAAATTAGGGCCACAGAAAGAAAATAGATGATGGACAAGTGAGACATAATAACGCACGTTATTACCGGTAATTTGAGGGTTGATATCGGAGATTTCCCCGTGACGCACTTACATACAGCTTCTAGGCTAATAATTTAATGCCATCTAAACTATGTTTCTAAATTAAATTCCCATAGGTCAACAGACATAAAAAGGTCATGGATGGTTAGCAAATTAAATGGCATGGCTCGAATAACCCACCTACACAAGAATATTCTGGATGTTCCAACAAAACCGCTAAAGGTCATGCGGTGGGATGGGCATTGTGCGCTCAAGTAATGCGCATGCTGTAACATATTTTCGACATAGTCAGGTGATTATATTATTGAGGAAATGGTAAATGGAAATTATTGGTTCTAATTTTAATTCCGATTAAAACGCGTTATACGAATAACAAGTTAATCCGGATTGACGTCATTGTCAATATTGGTAATCCGTGAACAGTTGGTTGTCTTGTAATCATCTACCCACATATTTATATTGCACTCTATTTTAATATTTATGAATTTACTTATTTGATAACAATTTTATTTACTTTTTAATATTTGAACAGTGAATCAATAAATTTAAATTCTTTAACTTAAATTCGAAAAACTGGTGAAAAGTCTTCGTACGTATAAGACGGTTTATTTTGCTTTTCTGCTTTTACTAACAAGATATTGTTGACTCTATGTAAAAATAAAACTCCCGCCCAGTAAATCGCATGTTATCGTATCGGCAAGATGACATCAGATAAGAACATATAAATATCAACTGAAACCGCTTTCCATTAAATGTTTTACTACCGCAAAATTCTGAGAATTGGTTACGCGTTAAGCATTGAAGTTTCTCCGGAAACACTCCATCAAAATTTGTCACTGCATACATTTCACTGTAATATCCGATTACAGAAGGTACATCAGCAAATTTCACATTTTGCAGCTTATCGGTCAATGTTATTTGCGCAGAACTCTGACAATTGTGTTTATCCGCGCTGGCGAACAATGTGACGACACATTATCGAGGCCCAGTCTGCCTGGTACCCGTCCACTGATTAGCGCCTGACAGCGGTGCATTTTGCCTTCCGATACGAAAACGTCAGGTTACTGCTATAAATAATTTTCTAAAATGTAATCGGGACCACGCACGCCGCCACCTGATTTGCGTAAAGCGCTGCCAGAATTATTGCCCTTAATTAAACCGGTATAACAAGGTTGACCTTTTACCCTGGCTCCAGTTTACCTCTTATCCATTTAACACGCACTGTTCACGAAGGCGCCGCACAAATGAGGACGGTCTTTGTACTGATTTAAAGTCGTCTGTACGACCCTGTTTACTAGGCTGATTTGATAACGCAGAGGACAAACAACAACATACAGATTATTAAGTTTAAAACCTTTGAGGCGACGTTTTACCGAACTCCGTAGATAATCACTATATCGGCCCAAAAAACGCTCCGATTTCGAAACCAGCGCTGGCATGTATGCGCATAAATGAGTTTTTGTTGCACACTGTAAGAATAATACTAGTACTGAATTAAGTTCTGAACCGCGGACCGACCGGTCATTTCCGCCTTTTTTTGTTGTACAATCTTTTCCCTGACGAAAGCCAAACCATAATTCGAAACCGGTTTAATATGTTACGAAATATACAGAGTTTTACGTTTTACCGGTTAAAGACACTTTCGCTGCATTCTTTCTAGTGTTGCGGAACGAAAGCATTTTCGTATCAGTTTTTGTCACGCATTCAAATTTAACGTAACTCTTCGTTATCGTAAAGAAAACAAAAATTCGCCAACTAATCATCTTCGTTACGACAACCAAAGTGGTCTGAATTTCACTTTCATAAGAAAAGTAAAATTCAAGGACGTATACGTACGAAAAAGTTCCTTTTGCATAAAAACTTCCAACAGCATTATCAGCCGCTCGGGCGCGCGGTTCCTTGAACAGCGACAACTGGCGGAAGTCAGCGGTTACCGTTTATTTTCAAACATTTTTTTTATGAGATCCTCATTTTATGTGTTAATGTTAATACTATGCGCATATTAAATACCGGTCTATATAGAAAATTTTTTTACTTCATTGTTGTGCTCTTGGTTCTGGAACAAAGGGCCGCTACATTATTTACCTATGCAGCCGCAGAAAATATTTTTCATGTGGCCAGTAGTATAGGGAAATTGTTTTTGGCGGAATTTGTTGTACGATGTCATAATCCTAGCAAAAGCATTCATATTGCGAAAAACAATCTGAATACGGAAAGATAAGCATTACGGAAAAGCTAAAACTTTAAAAGGCCAAAGTGTAGTATGGGGTGATGTCTGGCTGTTGTAACGCTATGCCATAAATACCGTTGGTACAATGCGCCTTGTGACGCCGGCGTCCCGGTTGTAAGATGCTACCGCCAGCTGGCACCCTGTCTGACAGAATATATTTCGTCATATATAAGTATTTGTCACTACTATGAACAAACGATTAGCATGTTGATAAGCCAACACAATGCACATTCTTCCATTGTCATACACAGAAATAATTAATTGCAGTACTGAAAAGGTAGCAATGACCGCAATATCGCTAATCGGCGCATAGATAACTTAATTTTGAAAACAAGATACAGAGTCATACGATTGCGATGTAAAGTTCTCTTGCCTACTGGAAAGGTAATTGTAGTGTACCATACTCCAGAGTAGCACGACTCAGTCGTAAAGGTGACAAACTGCGGAAGGAACATCGAAATTTTTCTTGTTCTGATTATTGGGTATTTAAAGTTTGAATGTAAATGACATCGAAATAAAATTTATGGAACACGAAAAAAAGCAGAAAGAAATTACAATGACATAAAACAGAATTACTCGTCCAATAAGTCCTGCTTTTGTAGTTCCTTTCCTCAGTAGTTTGGTCAGTCTCTCTACCGCTAATTCGTCAAGGAAGGTCTTACATATGGTATCTGCAGAATAAGCCATAAGGTACATCCGTAAACGAACTGCACTCTATCACTATTAAGTCACTGATTCCAGTTCCCAAGTCAAAAAGTCGTACTGGTCTTGCAACTGTTTTGACTACTTGATTTGTACTTAGAACTTCCAGTTTGCACCTCGTGCAGTTACTAAATTGGGAGTGTTTTTCGTACCGTTTCCATTACTTTTTCGGGTGTTCTAGCGAACAAAATGAGGATCAATACTAGGTATTGTTAGCAACTTTTCGAACATTTAGGCAGCGCCGCAGCAGTGCATCGAACATCCTTAACCAGTATTCAGTAACGCATAACAATGGAACCCATGAAAAGCAGAATAACATCAGCAAAACATCAGCGAAATCAACAACACATCAGCGGTAACATCAGCAAATAATGGTAACATCAGCGAAATATTAATAGGTAACAGGACACATAATTGCATCCGCAATTATACAATAAAATAGTAAACTGCAACAAGAAAATGCAAAATAACCGAAAAAATAATTCTTCCACGACCACTCCGCACCGTTCATCTGCAGCCTGCAGGTGTAGCTTCTCGACCTTCTCCACCACGTGTCCAGTGTCCACTGTCCACGGGGTCCTGATGCGTAAAATGCTCGTACACTGCAAGTACCATTATATACAGAAACATTCACGACGTGTGTTACCATTAAAAATTCCCAAGAAAAAAATCTGAAATAATGCTGCGAACTGGATAAGCAGGCAACCCGTAACAACATCAATTCTTCAACGAATTATTACCGAAAACAGTCACATGCGTGCGTGCGTATACCAGTGCGTGTTCATAAATATTTGAATAGTAACTATAAATAATTTTTAGGATACGAGTATCCATTCAACAATGCTAGCATTACAACCGTAAAAAAATTCACCAATGCTTTTTCATTACGGCTAGTTACATTCAATAATTTATATGACTGACGTGGCATAACTGAGGCAGCAGTAAAATTTTATTTAAATATTATTCTTAGTTTAGTTTGTTCGAGCAGACAAAGTGACAAACCCTGAAGCACTTAAAAGGGTGGTCGCATTATGAGTGTCAATAACAACAAAAATAAACCAGTGAAGCAAATATACAGAATACAAGCCGTGATTATCTGCTAAAGAACGTACCGAGCGTTTCGCGCATGAGTTTGCACAAATTGATGGAGTCGGTGTCCATCATCAACTCCCTGACGACCCCACCCTGCTCGTTTTCAACCACGAGCACCACCTTCGGCTTGGCTATCCGCGCCATTATCATGCATCTGCCCTCCAAGAGCATCGTGTCGTAGAACTAGCGGCGGGGTGTGCTGCGCCCGAGATTCCAGGCCGCCACTTTTCATCAGCGAGAACGGGAAGGTGGTGCCTGTGGGGTAGGCGCAGAAACGATGCTTTGGATACAGCTCCGAGGCCATTGTGTCCCAGAACTCCAGGCAGATCTTGAAGATCTCGATCTCATCCACTAGCAAGATGAGCAGCACGTAGCGCAGCGTCTCCAGCAGCTGCGGCCGCAGCTCCGCCGTCTTCTCGATCAGCTTGCTGTGCTCCTTGCTGCAGGTGGCCAGGAAAAGCGCCAGGTTCTGGATGAACTTCTACTCGTCGTCCGTGCGCTTGCCGACACGCAACGCGGATGTCCGCCTCCAGCGGCAGTATCTAAACCATTTCCAACCACAATGCCACAACTAATTCACCAAAAAATAAAGAAAATTATCTTAAATTGTCAATTACACAAACACTTCACCAGCACGTATATACGCACATAAAAACTCGTTTACAAGAAACGATTGGTACCACAGTTCTTTGTTTGCGCTAACAAAACAGTTAATGTCGATGTGATAATAAAACCGTGCCACAAAAAAGTGTCACAAAACAAAATGAAAAAATATACGGTAACTATATCCATAGCAAAATGCAAATGCTACGAAATATGGAAAAAGTCTAGAATAAGAACTGAAAACTGATGAATATTCTTCAACGGTCGGAAGAAGTTAAATGTACACGACGAAAGTATAAACAACCACGCTAAATGAAAGCCATCGTGCCCATGAACTACGAAATCCACTCAATAATATAAATCTGCCATTAATATAAAAATATCTTCCCTTAAAAAAACGTTAGCTTTTAAAGTAAGATATTACACAGCAATAATTCTCTAACGTTTTGATATACGTTTTGATTCCTGCAAAACAAACCACGGTGCTGTCGACATTTTCTCCTGTTTAATTAATATTTTCCATATTTTTTTAGTTTTGCCATTTTCCGTCAATTCTTCCCTCTTATTTTTGGAAAAACTGGTTTTTCTTTTCCATAAGTAATCCGGCATCCACATTTTATCCTTCCGTTTTTACATTTTCGCTTCTTTAGAAGGTTCAGCACACACTTCATAATAATATTTAATTAAAAATATTTCTATTATGCACTTGAAGTTACCATGGAAGAAATTTAATGGACACGGAAATCGAAAAATTTCTACGAAAATGAATTATTTGAAGACGTACATCTACTTAACTGTTTCCATTTATGCCCTTCTTATTATCTCATTTCTTCGAATTCCGATAACGATGGTAAAAATGAACAATAAACTGCAGATTGCTGAGGAGCAAATTGAGAGAGGAAAAAACAAATTCGAAACAATATTCTTGAATTCGTCTGGAAATTTGAGAAACTGGGAAAACATTCCATACGAATTCCAAGTGATCAAACGTTAGGATTAGCTGGAAAACGAGAAAAACCCTCACCTTCACACTTGGCCATGGCAGCGTCTTCTACCTAGTATTGATGACGTTCTTGAGGATCTGCGATTTTGCGTGTCTGCAGGGCAAATTACTTGGTCTCGGGGGTCTGCGAGTATTCCACCATGGCGTGGGCACGCGTCCACGTTGCGAGATCTTCCGTTCCTCCGAGGCACCCTCTGCGCCTCTGATTGCTCATACTTGGCGCAGCAAAACATCCTGCCAAGCAGCGCAATGTCTAGTCGCTCGAAGAACTAACGGAGCTTTGCTGGCCCCCGAAGGACCAGAGTCTGCTGCAGCCATCCAGCCTGGTCGTCGCAGCCATCCAGGCTGGCCGTCGCTCACCCTTGTGGAAGTTGTCAAATTAAGTGCTACAATCAAGCGCTCAAATTGACGTTTACTGACAAGTTTACAATGACGCTGTTAAAAATCACACTCGGAAATCACGATAAGTATCAGGCGATTTTTAATTTTATACGCCACATTTCACAAACAAAAGTATAAAACTCAATAGTATTGCACTCTGTCGTGACTCAAAAAAATGGAGACGTTGTAAAAAAGCCGTTCGAAACTGCGTGCTATGAAGACGCAGCGCAGCGAGATGCTGCTTTGTGTGCGTCGGGTGCCCATATGCGGTATGCTGTAGAGGTTATCAGGTGGCGCTGCTAACTGTAAGTGCTGACTGCCCGCGCTTCTGACACGCTACCGCAGTATGAGCCAGTATGTATAAGACTAGTAAAATAGGAAATAGTATAAAATATATATAATAGGAAAGATTAGTATTTAGGAAATAGTATAAAATATATATAATAGGAAAGATTAGTAATACTAATCTTTCCTATTATATATATTTTATACTATTTCCTATTTTATAGCATTGTGAATTTCCTAGTATATATTTATCCTTTGTACTTGACTATTTCAACTTGTACAGTTTTCTTTCTATTTTCTACAGGCACGTAGTTTTCAAACTGCTGTATAGCAGAAAAAATGGAAATTAATAATTATTGCTGCTTCCAGCCAACAAAAAAACTTAACACAATATAAAAACTACCTGTATACATAAATTTTTTTTTAATTTGTATATTTTTATATTACTAGTAAATATACAAATTTTAAGTTACAAATACTACAGAATTAAATTTAATACTATTATAAATACTACTATTAATTTATTATTTGATACTATAGTATTAAATCTGTATATTAATTTTTATATATTTATTTTTGGTTATAAAGATACGTAATGCTTTTGGGCTGGCTGATGAAACATCGAACGTATATAACACACAACTGTCTTATTTTTCTGAACAATTTTCTGAAATCCATTACCGTTTCTCTATTTAAAGTGCTCTTTCTTTACTTTATGTAATCTTCTCCAACAAATAATTTGAACCACGTAGCCGCAGCGCACCGCTCTGCATCATTCACGGCCGGATTTTAAAAATGCATAAATATATAAATCAGATTATTCTTAGAGCATCCGATATGCAGAAAAGTGTTCCATGTTTCACACATATTTCCAGTATTCTTTTATACTTGAGTCGCTAATTAATTGACACTTAAAAAAACAGAAATCTAGTAATTTTTAGCAACTTCCGGTTCGAACTTGGAACTGGTCTAGACCTTTGGGTCTAATCCAGTACCATTATCTTCGTTCGGAAATCGTGACACCACATTCGAACCAGTATAGAGCTTTTCTGTGTACTTAGCAAGTACGAGTACGACCTTTTGACTTGGGGTTAGGATGCAGCGTCTCTGTACCGGTCTTTTGCCAAAGATGCTTCCGTAATTCGAGCATGAGAAATGCTTTTTCTATAGGACTTTGAAAAAAACCCAATCAATACCCAGCAGAGAGCAAACAAATTTCCCCGCAGTTATTCGAATTCCCGACGATAACCTTTTCTACAACTACGTACGTTGACAATAAGATTTCTTCAGTTTTAATTCAGAACCAGGTATCCTAAAGCTCAGCAGCAAACAATCCAGTAAAACAATTTTCGAAATGAAAACCTTTTGAAATACACAACTGCTGACATCCCCCATCTATCTTCTTCAAGTAGCCACATGACCTTTGGCGTCGATCACTTATTCGAGAAGTTTTATGAAGATCGTTCTACTGCGACTGTTCGGCTCCATATCCATACTGCTTGGCAAAATTTCTCCGGTAATTTAAAATTTCACACACGCGAATTGTAGGCTTACGCCGCAAAAAGATCACCCGCCACGCATGTCTGTCGGCATGGTCCGCTCAAATTATAATTGTCTATAACTGGTGAGACAATGATACTACTGATTCACCAGTACAGAAGGAAAAATCTCACTTTTTTATACACAAAAGACAATAGCAGAGTAACAGTTTGGATCAAAAGGGCACCAGAATGCCAACATCACAGTCCGTCCAAGCACTATGCCAACCTGTAAACACGGTGCGAAATGGCCTTAGGGCTTCCGGAATATTGCAAAAAAATTGTGCAGGTAAGCTGTCAGCTACGATAATGAGCCGGCAACCGAACCGAGATGGTTTTTATAGGCTAGGCTGCGCGAATGGCCCGAATCCGGTTCTGAAGATGGTAGACAAGCGGTTAAAAGGCAAAGAGAGGCTGGAAGTTCGGGTGGGCTTCATCACCAGAATCACCAGATTTCTCCCATCAGAGAACTCTTTACCAAAACTTCATAACTATTGGTGAAGTTTGTTCCTGAACAAATTAACCCCGTCATTTGATCGCTGCTGATCAGTTCTGCACCGTATAGTAAAAGTATGTTCAAACTGACAAACTTAATATGAATTCATGTATACCGTACGCATTCCGAGACATGCGTTCTAAATCGACGCTCTTCGCCTCCCTGGCAGTGGACATTGTGCGACAGAGTTTTTATTTTTAAATGTTTTCCCGTCAGGAACTGGAAAACGTGGGCGACCGTTTATCTGAGTGTTCAAAAGTTTTAATAAGAGCGATAGGTTGGTTAGAAATGTTAATTTACTACTTCGCATTTAAGACAAGAATGAGGCTTGCTGAATTTTCATGTTTGATAAGTTTCTCAGCGGGGCGGATCCTCAGAGCCGTAGTACGATAGCTATGCGCCATTCCATAGGCGATGAGTTTGAAGATGCTGAAGAAGCGAAACGTGGTCGGCTGCTCGCGGTACATTTGCCGCCACAAGTGTTTTGTGGGAAATTGACTGCAGTTTCTAGTGTTTCAGCTTGATGAGTCTGCAAAATTACCCGACGCCATTTCGCGAGTTCACCTAGCTGAAATAGCCATTCTGCTGCTGCTCAAGTATTGCCGACTACACAATTTGCTGAAAACTCCATTTTTCCGTCCCTTTTAAGAACTCTCCAAATTGTCAGCATAGTCAACGACTCAATGATAAACGTATAACACGTAAATGATTCTGATAGCGCCTTTCGTATATGTTATAAGGGCTCATAACGCCGGTTCAAATTTCATTAATCCAATTTTCCGGTCGGAAAATTTCTGAACTTTGTTAATGTGTGGGACCGCATCATAAACGATGAGCGTGCTGATTTATTTGCCTTGTCTATTTCTGTGCAACGCACAGAATTCTGTACAACCCACAGAATGAGGCAGCGCAAACAAATCGTTCACAGCGTATCGGCTCAGTCGGATGGATACGGTTTAGGCCAGAATCTTGGTCCTGTTGGCCGGGTCTGTTTCCTCTTGTTTCATTTACTTCGGCCTACCAGCTGGTACTCTTGATGTAAGTTAATTTAGTTTGTTTGTCTATTTTTTCTCACTTGCGTTGCGCCATTATTTAAAAAAAGTTTGGGCGCTGAAATGCGGGGACAAAGTACTCCATAACGTCAGTAAAACCATTTTTACGGTTCTCGTGGACTTTTGGCTTCTAGTAGACGTAAGCGTTTGGTTTTTTTAGTCAAAATTGACGTTGGATCAACCAGCCTCCAACTTTGTGGAAAATCGACACTCTTCCGGTGCGTACTGATTTACAATTAGAACTTAATCGTATGAAGATCAATCTCTTCTATAAAATCCAGTAAACTTAGGACATTAGCCAAACTCCACCGAACCGAATAATTAAAATATTCCTCTCCCTGACCAGAACTGTGAAGGCAATCCATACAAGTTTGGCTCACATTTCGGACGGATTTCCTTGACGGGAAGTCTGGATGATGATAATGTACGTCTTGTGTGTAAGCGCATGGTTACAATAATTATCAATATTTATTTCCTTCCTGCCGGACAAATGACCATTAGACTGAGACCGGTTAACTAAACTGTACTGGGTTCTGTTGTGTCGATATGCACATCAAAAGGCGCCATGTGTTAGTTATCTGAAATTCCAATCTAACTGGATGATTAATTCATCAGATCCTGGTGTCAGCAGAAAAACACCTGTACTGGCTGTACATGGCGGAGATATTGTCGAAAACAATTTATACTGTAGCTGTGTCAGTGTGAGTAACTATACATTGCAGCATTTCATTATAACTGGAAAACACTAAAACCGAGAAGTAAATTGTAACGTGATGAATACGATACTGGCTTACAGTTATATTACTTGTATTTTTCTACATGGTGCTTGGGCAGGACAAACATGATCGGATCCTGTATGACTTGTCGAAGCACCATTCGTAAAAATACATTCCCCATTTTACCCAGCCCACCGCATCCAGGGAGATTTGCAACGTGACCGGCTCTACCAGTGCAATGAGCGCTGCAACGCAGTAAAATACTCGTAGCATTAAGTAGCAGAAAAAGGGCAGCACGCATTGTATCTGCAATTTCCGTAGCACAGCCATCCGATTCTTACGTTATCCTCAACTATTTCTCGTTTAGTGCAGTCGCCGGTTGTCTGCGTTGGTTATTTTTTGCCACCTCCTGAGTTTCCGAAGAGGTCAAGGGTTTCCGATGTCTTCCCATGTTTTCTCATAGGTTTTCATAGGTTTCTTCAATTTTTTTTAGAATTTCTGAATTTTTGGTTTTCGTGATTTAGTTATTAAATAATTTTAACATTTTTAATAGTTAAAAGAAATAAATTATCAGGTCGGGTCTCTCCGCCCACCTGACTTGTTCTTCGCTTTTGTGCTTTGCTGTTTTTCGGGATTTCCATCCATGCATTTTACATGTTTTTGATGAATCTGCAGCATGTTTTGATGAATCTGTAGCTAGCGCAGCCTGCGCTAGCTACAGATCCAGTTTGGTGGTTTTCGTGTGGCGGCAACATCGCCAATAAAGTCGATGTTTCCAGGTTGTTCCGTCGAATGCACCTGCGGAGTCTATAACGCCCCACGTTACAAAACTACGAAACCTAGTAACAAAATGTCAGGGCGGGCTTATGATTCAGCCCTTCTGTCATTGGTTGGTTTTGGGTTTTTTCCTGTCTGGGCATTTTCATGCGTTTTGATGGCTCTGTAAGGCAGCTGCGCTGCCTACAGAGACCAGTTGGTTTTTGGCTGGCGCGCAAGGCGCGGTGTGTGTTAGATTTCGGCATTAAAGCCTTCATCCGGGTTTGCTTTTGTTCCGCTGTCGATGGAGGATGCGCGCTTAGCCAGCGCCATCTGATAAAAAAATCCGCGACCACCAATAAAAGATATTATTAAGAATGCTACGAATATTAAGAAATTTAAGAAACCTATATGAACGATGACCTGAATGTCGGAATACTCAGCGCAGAAACTGGATCCAGTTATGAATTGCCGTTTTACCGCTTGCCAGTAAGCCGCTAGTGCCGCTATGCCGGTGACAACAGCCAGTGGCAGGTCCCACCGCTACATTTCACAACCCTGCCTACACGCTGAAGACACCGTCGCTTTGGCTCGCACGCGTGTTCTACCAAGTAGTTAATGGCATTAAACTAGGTATCAAGACAGAATAGCAACTAACGATAAACACTCTGTACTTAAGGCAGAAACTGTGGATGAACTTAGCACTTCTTGTTAGTAGTTGTTGTTGTTAATTAACTTGCCGTTTATGGAAGCCACGGATTTCTCCTGAAGACCTGGACAGCTAGAAAAGCGCAGATAAAAAGCCAACGAAGAAAAAACATTTTTGCGTTGCTTGAGTTTTTTATAAATACATAGATACAGTGGTGTTAACGGTAGGAGGTACAGATAGCCTTAAGCCCATAACTGCAACTCGCTGTCCAAAACACCAGCACAACAGAAAGGTTGGCCTTTCTACCAAACGAGGTTAAAATGGTGTGTTATTACACACTTTCGACGGTTTTTTATTCCGGACATTTTTACAGTACGGATTCGCGTACCGGACACCAGATGCACGGTATTTTCCGCGTTGTTCCATGCGACAAACGCTTTTCGAAAATGGATACATGATGGTTATCGTTTTCATACACGCTTATGCACGAGATTAATGAAAAAATTAATTACCAGGTTTTCTAGTGTGCAAACAACGCCGAGAATGGTGTCCGTCTTTTTGGTGCCCGGTGTGTGGATCTGCACTGTGTAAGTGTCCGCAATGCAAAAATAATCTGTTTTGTGTATTAATCCGCTACCCGCGACCCGGCCGATAGCTGGTTCGGCCGTGCCTAACGTAACTGCGACGCGATGAGTGATACTGCGGCCGCCCGATGACACCTCCAATGCACACCGATTCAAACGGTCATAACAAAACTTTTCCAGGGTCATTATTTTATTGGGAAATAATGGTGAAGGCTATTCGAGAAACGAAGGAGTTCTCTTATCAAAATATCAAAACATAACTTTGTAAAAGCTGCGGACGATTAAGACGCAATAGTTTAACCCAGTGTTTACAAATTTACAGGACTTCAGAAAATTGATGTTACCAATCAGCCTCCAGCGCTACAAGATATTGCTCACAGACAGATGTTTTTGCTCCCATTTGGAAGACTGTTGTTGCGTTGCTAACATGCCCATCTTCCTTAAATCATGGATGTACTTGTACCTAACTTAACCTAAGTGTGCCCATGATACATGTAGCAACACAGTCGCCGTACTGAAAAGTACGTAATTTATTCTCCGTCACAACAATCGCTGATCTAAATATTGCCAGCCATCACTTTGGGTTTGATGCACCAAATATTGCTAAAACACATCCGCACTGTTACCTATACTGGCTATACAGACATAACAAATGCATAATTTGTTTGTTTTCGGCTTTCGCAGTATCTCACCTAGTCACACCGTTGTTACCGGCAACATTGGTGTTCTTCTGCTACCGCTGCCCACTGTGGTAAACAGCAGTAGATTCCTCAATAGTTTTCGACCAGAAGCAGAAGAAGCTGCTCACCGGTCTACCAATGCACCACTCGGCGCATTCGGTGCACTAATTTATCAAAGGTTAATAAAAGAATTAATGATCAGGACTGTGTGCGAGAGCGTTTACGAAACTGCGTCAGCGTTTAAGAAATCCGACAAAGGCGAATGGAATGTTCGTTATCTGCTCCCGTTTTCCGCAGGAAACCGGAAGTAGGATGAGTAAACTTTCGCAAACGGATGGTGCAGGCGTGAGAAGTAAGCAGTCACCCGGTGACACAACGGTGCATCTTGTAAGTTGTAACACGCACCCCAGTCGATGTCTGATAGTCCATTTGTTGTTGCGTACTAACGTGCAGCATGGGGCAGACCCGATGGTGCATAACTTACACAAAGGTATGTAAGCCTGCTTACACACATATACTTATGCTTATGCTTATACTTCTGCTTACACACATATACATATGCTTACACACATATACTTACACACATATAATCCTGCTACAAGAGCATTTGTTCCTCATTCTACATTTTTTGTAATGTGTGATTGTTTTTGACAAAACGGTCTGTATATTTCTGCCCGGATATTTCTTTAGGCAAATCCGCAAAAACTCGGTTATCACATTTGCAATTTGCGGGGCATTTTGCGGGTTTTTGTTAGCTGTGGTTCTCTTGAACGGAGCGGCAGCGGACCGGCCTAGGGTAAGAAATCCACATTAAAAATAACTAGAAAAATGCACGTTGGCGTGCCTTAGCAGACCGGAGCGAAGCGATTTCACAGCTTGGTCAAGAAGCTTTGTTGCATGGCCCGCCGACAAAAATTCATTGAAATTTTTTGTAAATCATTCTCGGACAACATGTAGGAAAAACTGAAAACCAGACTAAACTTTTTTGCCACCGTTCTTCTGTCATTTCTGTTCTTTCTTTCTTCTTTCAGTTTTAGTTTTCTCACTTTGTAGTTAAGCAAGCTTAGAGCAGTTGTTCCCAGAATTTGCCACATATCACCCGTCAACAAATACAAATTGATCATTTTTAAGTTATTACCGTATGTCCAGTATCTTTTGCGAGTATTTTCAAGTTATTTCTGACACTAAACCGTGATTACAGCGAAATTAAAACTACGGCAAATTTGCTTAACCCGGCAATGCCCGAGGTATCAAGGAATTTTTTGTCGAAGTTGAAATTCATACCATAGAATAACAATAAATAACCCTGAACTATGTTTTTCAAAATTTTTGCTGCAGTAGTTTAGAATTTGAAGGGTAGGTGGGTAGGTGGGTAGGTGGCACCGCTTGGGCATTAACGATATACAATACGGGCGGTGTGGGCAGTGGGCACGGTGGTTGCCGGTGCCACACCACACAAATTCCGTTGTACACAACATTGTGGCTACTTGATCTACTCGAATCAACCTGGCTGTGGTAGCTGCTTACACTTTATAATAGTTAGCTTGTGCAATGTAATTCATCATGAAAAGGTTCATGGTTGAATTTATACTCAAAAAAATGTTTGAATTCCGGTCAGTATGCAACAGGGTCATGGTGGGCTGCGCCAGTTTACATGAGCATAACACTGATCATAGCCAGCCATATTTATTGTTGGCTGCTTCGATCACAACGTCGTTCTATTGTTCTTTTCCTATTGCAGTCGAAGAAAATATTGTGATATGATAAGAAAAATGTTTTATTAGCATTTATGCTATTATAAAAGCACTGAGATGTCCTTATTTGTTTGATATTTTGATCAGTTTGCTGACAGTGTTATGGTTTGGCTACTCTCTTAGTACGCAACGGCTGAATCATATGAAGTGTGCGGCTCTGGTTATTGTGCCTGTTCAGGCAGCATGTTACTGTCCTACGACAATGCCTAAGCGGTGGAATTTCCACCAGTTTTTTACAGAAGAGCTGCAGACTTTTGTGGGATACTGAAATTGTGAGATACTCATATGAAGTTATCACCAATTAAATGCCAAATTTTTACCATAACAGCCGATTTAGATACACTTCGTAGAACTTTGCGTTATTTTTTGAGTGTTTTCTGTTTTTTCAGTGTTTTTTTTTCAGTGTAAATTCACAGTTTTTTCAAAAGAGCTGCAGACTTTTGTGTAATACTGAAATTGTGAGATACTCATATGGAGTTATCACCAATTTAATCCCAAATTATTACCATAAGAGCCGATTTAGATACACTTCGTAGTACTTTACGTTATTTTTTCAGTGGGTTTTAAGCCATGTAGGTTTTTTAAGGTACTAAAATACAGTATGCAACTAAAATACACTATCTTTGCTCTATCTAATCTAACGCATATGTGACCCAGGCAATAACAATAGTCCTGGTGTTGTAAAAACTGGCGAACTACAGTATACTGGTGGTTTTTCCACCTAGCAGACGTTGCCGGGTTGAAGCAGTTCAACCCAGGGTCCCTAAAGCACCTCCTCCCATTAAAAATTCGTTTTTAGTTGTTGCCAGAGTTGAAGGTAATTAGTTTAGAAACCGTTTAGGTATCATAAGCCCGCTTCTCTAAATAAATGTTGTAACAAACAACGGAATTTTACGCAAACAATGGAGTGTCTATTTGCCAGTCGATTTTAACCAAGCTCTGGGTGACCTTTTTGAATTATTGCCGGCACTGTTAAAATTGGTGATCACCCCCAGTTGCTTCTTACAACTGCCTAAGCCAGGGTTGGCACGGGTCTTCATTATCTAAGCCAGGGTGCCCTTACTTGTCGAGCTTCTTCTATAAGTTAGGCACGTTTTATTCGAATGCGACATTGGGAAAGGTTGCTATTTGAAGTGCCACTGTGTTCTTCATTAGCGTTTTAAGCATACAGGAAACACCACGTTACCATCAACGGTGCTTCCCCAACAGACACAAGATAAGCAGTGCAAAACTGTTCTACAGTCTCATGGCGTTATCGGGCTAGTCCGCGGTAAAGTCATATTTGGGACTTTCGTAACGGACACAAGTTAAGCACTGCAAAAGTACTGTACAGAGCCGTGACGTCATCTGACTTATCCAGGATGACGTCATAGCTAGACTTCCGTAACGGACACAAGTGAAGCTAAGCACTGGAGCTGAATCAGGAAGACCTTCGCTTCGCTCCGGTCAATAATAACATTATTAACCATTAACATAAGCGCCACGTTCTGATTTCATCGGTCGGGATTGATGTCATCAAGTCAGTAGCCCGCAAACGTAGTTAGTTCAGTACCTCGACTATCGCCTCTAGATAAACTGTGCTTATATAGCATTATATTAGTGTTTCTTTCTGATGTAACCACTAGATCTTGAAATGGTAGTCGGGCAAGAATTTGCTTATGCGAATACGATCCCGGGCGTGACTATTTGAAGTAAAAAAATTTCGCAAATGAGATTTTAAATTGACAGTTTAAATTTCAAACTAACTTAGATTTGGATTTCAAATTGCAAATCCAAGAAAATTATTCAAATCGAATCTTCAAATTTTCGAATCTTCTTATTCGGACAATACCCGGTTAAACAGCCGTTCTACGATCCAACTGGGACACTGTCTGCATAATGCTCCGGTTTATATGTGCTAAAAAAGTCTGTGATGTCTGATCCAACCCGGACAGTAGCTGCTTAACTCAGGTTTTGTTTGTTTCCAAAAATCTCGGATATCCGTTGTCTGATCCGAAACTGGAGTTCGGAGCGAATAGGATGGGATATTCCGATTTATCGCCAATCTCTGATGCATACTAAATTATACGCGTTGCAAAGCCACGAGATTACCCATAGGCTACTCCGAATATGTAACAGAATATCGTTCATCCTAGATCTTCGTGGACAAGGGTTCTCGCTCAAGCTCGAATGCAGGCTTGCAGTTGGACATAAGCAACATTCGCGACTATCTGTGCAATACCGACTACGACGTCGAGGGAGATCCACCGGGTATTGGTAGTCGTATTATAAGTGGCAGTATGGTGGCTTCCCGTTGCTGGAAGCATGACCGCTACTGCCGGGAAAGCTGTCAAAGACTCCATCAGTCTCCCCTTGCCGTAGGCTACTGTTTTGGAACACCTCCGAAGTGCTACTGCGAATATGAGCAACGTACACACACTCCACAGTCTAGAAACTCTTCATTGACCGAAGACTCCGGCGCTGATTACGCAGAGTAAACAACAATCATTACCACTTACTCCCGATTGTTCTCCCACAAGCAAACGAATGTTTTGAGCGTTGAGTTATGTAAACGGGCTCGAACAAACGCAAAAAGATCCAAGATAAAGCTCACTTTTACAGATACATAGCACATACAGTGCGAGATAATAATTATACATGTATTATCCTCGTTGAAAATCTGGAAGTTCTAAACTATATTTTTTGCCGTTTATCTGTATGTTTTGTCACTGTTGTGTGCTCCTGTAGTGAGCACAATGATGTTTTACCTGGCCTGTCACTTTTACGATTATAAAGCAGCTCTGCAGTGCATTTATTGAATTCATTTCGCCGTCGTTGTTCGTAAGACCGCACGCTAGAGTATCCGTGGAGTCTAAAGATGCTGATTCAGCACTGCTGTATCTGCCGATAATTTAGCTTATGCAAAATAATACAGCCGAAAGTTGCAAAGCAAAGGCATAATCTTAATGGCGGTGGTGGCTTCACTTCAGACCAGACGTATTAGAAAGTGCGTACCGTTGTATCCCGTTATAAGCTATGCTTTGTCGTCCAAGGCAGCTGAGCTCACGTTCATTACAACCCGTAAAAACATCTGCCGTAAAACACGATGCAACAGCGTTCCTGAGCATGGCGTGCAATAAGCCGTTTTAAAACTGTATAAGCGACGCGTGGGCGCCGAGCTAACGGGAGCAACTTACCATTTTACTGGGACCGTTCTTGTCCAATTGGTACGGGTTATGCTGTACCAAGTACAGCGTACAGGCACACACTCGAATATGTTCAATGCAAATCAGCGGTTTGTGCTTCTTATGGGCTGCATGGGATGCATGCCGCGACATTACCACAGAGGTGCGGGAACGCTGATACTTGTTTTGTCGCAAATACCCTGTCGGTCCGCTAAAGAAAACCACGTGAAATCCCAGTGTTCGTGGATGGGCCCATTCATCCCAGCCGCTGGAGCCCTCGAAACGCGTATTCCTCTACGTAAACTTAGGTGAAAGGCCCCTTGATGTGCCCTGATATGGCTACTCATTGTAATTATTATAATTATTATTAATATTAATACGAATATTAGATGATTAGGATTAATTATTAATTAATTATTATTATTATTTAATTAAATATTAGTAATTACTATTAATAATTAGTAATTACTATAAATTACTATGGAATTACTATACTGTTAATAACTATTAATTACTATAAATTACTATGGAATCAGGAATGGACCGTGGTGAAAGGGTCCAACTGGATTGTCCAACCAACTGGAGGATCGGTTATCCAAATAGCTAACCTAATCCAAATAGTTAACGCTTATCAGAATAGTGATAATCAGTAAAGAAGCCTGAGTACAGTACATAAGTAATTACGCACCGATTAATCGTGTACGTAATTATTACGACGCTAAGGAGAACTAAAAAACTGTTGGAGGAGTAATATTGTACGTAATTATTCTACGATAAGGAAAACTTCAACCTGAGAAAGTTAGGACGAGTCATACAAACCAGGAAAACAGTAATAAAAATTATCAGGGCACATAAAGGGGCCCTTCACCGCAGTTATGCGACAAATATAATATAAAAACCGTTATAATTTATTATCCTTCCATAAAAACGGTGGTTTCATCCCGTTTTGGCAGAAATGCTGTCTTCGTTTCTCTACGTTCCTCTACGTAAACGGGGATAAATACCACACCGGTCTACAATATGTGTTAAATCCGAAGCGAGTCCGCACCTGGGATGGGCTGCTAGCAGATTGGTCCAATTGGATCCGGCCCCGCTTTGGCGCTATACGCCGTGTGCTGACGCCCAAACGTGGATGAATGGACCCAACACCCTCTGTACCACTACTGCATTGTCATCCGTCCGCCGCATTACTGTGCCATCTTCGGTACTCTCATCTGGATAATGCTGCAGAAGGTTACGGGTGAAATACTGCAACCAGCGAGGAAAGCTACGGATTTTGTCCAGTGTTAGTCCGCTTTCCACGAGACTCTTATCCTTCCAGGCATCTGCACTGCCCGGCAAGCCGAAGTACCTACAAAAAATCGAAAAATTTTTACCTCTTGGCGTTTTCTGATCTTTTACATGTAAAGATCTCATTTATGTCACGGAATAACTGGAATACGAGCCGTAATCTAATTGTGTACAATGGCTGGCTCGACAGCAGTGTCGTCAATCGCATCTATCAAAAGTTCAAAAATTTTTAGGACTCTAAAATTTTTTGTTGTTTTCACACTAGAATTGGGCAGCATTATTTTAGCTGACTGGAAACCGGTGCCAGTTACGCAAAAACCGTTGATGATACACATCTAAAGTCACCTGATCCAATAGCCCGCGTAAGAACCAAGCTTCGTTGATGACCATAACACTCGCTGCATAATTCTTTCATCCTCCGGTGTCAATGGTGTTGTTATCAATCTCCCGAATAGCTGCAAACTCTGGTCGAAAAGCCACATTTCCTCTCTGGTGATGGTCTCCTTGGCCACATTCGTACAGAGAACGATTGGAACTGGCCTGGTATTTCCCCATGGATCGAAAATTTCTTCCCATGGTTTGAAGTGACAGTATATGGGGTATTTTCAAAAGTAACTGCATTACGAAAATTTGGCATCTTGTTCGACAGGGCGTTGATGTATAACTTCAAATTCTGCAGCACTAGCGTAAGATTCTTCAATCCATTAGCATTCCCTTCCGGGTCGCGATGAATGCTATGGAGCATTTCGGCAATTTCTCCAATTATGCTGTGCATAACAGATTGACATGTCACAAATGAATGAGAGGCGTGCACTCTTTCAACTACAGGTTTACAGCATAGCCGAGTGTGTGCATTTATGAACAATTGACTATAAACTACTCCTGTCAGGCAGTTTTCAAATTGAAAATTTCAACGAGTCTTACTGTAAATTCGTTTTCATAGCCTCCAAAACTATTTTGTGATGAACATATCATTGCCTGTTTCACTTCCCCAGTTCTAAGTACTTCTCCAAATATTTCTAGCTTCGCTTCGGTCTTTTAGTGCTAGCGAGCAGCGGTGCACTTCCCTAGTTATATAAACTTTTATGCAACACCTGAGTCTGCATTCCTGATATTCCCACGTACCGAAGCGCATTAAAAGGGTGGTAATAGTATTCATAATAGCAGGGCTCAATTGGAAATGAGCTGTATTCCCCACGATCATACGACGTTTTTATAAGGAGCTCTGCATTGGGTGCACATATGTCCAGTGGCCAACGGAGAATCAGGGCGCGCGTGGCCCGTGTAACGAATCTGGTAACCAGTGGCTTAATTTTTCGGCGAGCTCGCACGACATATTTCGGGACTGGATAATCGTCCGGGCCGCTGCAGCCATATTTTTCCCATTTTAACAAATCAATGACGACGTTTCGTTGGATGGATGGCAACCGGCTTATGGTCTCCCATCGCTTGCACACACTAACAAGTCGCACCAGTCAGCATAATATTACGGTACATAATTTGATAAACAAATGTACTGTACGTATATTACGAACTAGGAAAGTCACTCTACGAATTCTCGTTAGCTAAAGTTTTATATATTAAGCCTAAAGGGTAAAGCAATAATATTTTCAGTTTTTTTTGGGAGGGGGAATCATTACAAGCATATCTTTTGTTATTGGTTGCTCCGTTGCTGCAGTATGATGCAACCTGTAATAACTTGTTTCAAATTGCTACCATGGTGTGTGTGAACATCCTCTATTACGTATTATGGACTTACTGTCACTTACGTTGTACCATTGGAAATCTCAAAAATGTCCAAGAAGGAGAGCACACGTGCTACGAGTTCAACGGGCAAAGTATGAAAAAAGCAAGGCTGCTCAGCGGCACTATTGACTCGCTCGGAATCGCTTGTGTTGTGATGTTTTCCATCAAGTGCCATTTCAACCAACCTGTACTGGTTAACAAAATACTTTTGTAACGCACTCGCTGCAGCACGAAACATATCACGAAAACAAATCCAAATATTTATGATTACTGCAAATTTTCGTTTCTTGTCTGAGTCGTATTGTGAGATCAGAGACTATCAGAGACATATGCTAAGCACCGGATGTTCGTAACGTTATGCTAACCAAGGAAACATAAACTAAAAAAAGGGGGCAAAGATTCACCGTTTCCGTAATCAAATATATATGGGAAATTCAATAAGGAAGCTGTTCAAGCAAAACTTCAATCATCCACGCAACGGACAGTACATGCATGAAGCTTTTCAAAATGTTTGCGCACTATATGCAGTTACTGCCAAACCAGTTGGTAACACTATGCACCTGAATACCATAGTGAAATCATGCAACAATCACGCTACAAACGTCGTGGTTTATCATCAGTATGCAGCGCTAACCTGTGCTTACATAAAAACATCAGCTGTCAGAACGAGTCGACCAAGCTGCGTTTTTCCTTATATCACTGCTGTGTCGCTGCTTTGCAGCTGAATCATACTTAAACTGCGCGGCCACTGTGACTTCCAAACATGCAGAACAAAGCAACAACCATGATGCCACCTATATTTCTGTAATAACTAGCACAGTACAATGAGTACATTAATTTTGCATGAAACCGAAAAACATAGCTAGTGTACATTGTAGGCCGAAAGAAGCGCCTAGTTCTATAACTCTGACGGCACATGCGGGCTGCGTAGACGTTACCAACTGAGGCATAGAACTGTAATATAACTGTTTTAAACCATATTTTGATTACGTATTGCGATAGTTCCTCCAAATAACCCGCCGACTGCGGTGACCAAAACACTCGTCTGTACAAGTACAGTACAGCTAGTGCTAGTGCTAGTGTCCAGTATGATCGTGGTAATTCTGCTAAAATTAATCATCACTCGGGATAGAACGCCGACACCAAGTCTACAATGTACAGTAAAACCTGCGTACATTGAACACCTGCGGTTCCAGCTTTTCCGTTCAATGTAGACGCCTGTTCAATGTACAGAACAGCTGCCCCCAAGGGGACCGCCCCTGGGGGCAGTGGTTCTGTGCACTAAAGCTGCTCCTGAGGGCGAACGGACGCCGCCTCAATGGATCAATCCCGCTACCAAGCCTTTTTTATGCTTTTTTCGCGCATAACAAATCAAAAATCGTGTGGTGTTAAAGGTGGAACAAGCGAATGGCTAGTGAACTCTGGTCCGTTGAGCGCTTTTCTTGTGTTTTTTTTCGCTCCCAAAACCAGATTCTGGCGCTTTGTTCATTTTCGAAAGGGCTAAACATTAGTAAATAATTAGCTTCGTTCCAGCTAATTTGTTCAATGTTCACTTTAGAGAGATGTTCAATATACGCGAGCTCCCCCCTGTGTTATAGTCTACCCAACGCGCCGGTTCCGTAATGACCGTTCAATGTACACCAGTGTTTAATTTACGCGAGTGTTCAAAGTCACAGGTTTTACTGTACACAAATAATCTGGCGAGCTAGTACAATACTACTGCACTCTGTACTTGCGAACGGGTTACGGGAAAATGTCTTATGTTTCCGTCAAACTGCCAGGTGGAGGTAGAGTTGACCAAACGTTTTACTGGTTGTGCCGATATTCCCTTTGGCAACAGGACTTTGACTTTTTTAGTACGCTCTCGGAAAGCCGTAATCGTTATTTGCGCCACACAAGGCGTACAGATACTACTCATACGCTTTATAAGAAGAGCACACCATCACTTGGTAGCCAATGAGCTACGTGGTGGAAACGGAATATTGTCGATAAAACTGCAATCAAATTATACGCCTGGCATGAAGTTGTACCTTGCCTTAAGACTACCGGCTTCTGGACACAGCCAGTCAGCCAGTAAAAGTGGACTGCCCCACGCGAGAGAAGTTCAAACTAGCACGCATGAAACCGACATTAAACTCGTTTAAGTGGTTTCTAACTGATAAGCGCCCACGCTTCGCAGCATGTCAAGTCGGCATTAAAACAACCTCTAACTGCGACGAAATCACATCTTTAACCCTGAACACACCATGACCACGCTCCCACCGCTCAGCCACAAAGAGCGCCGTGAGGTCTCCGAACTCCCGGACGACCCGCCGCACCCACCCCCGTCGCATCCCCACATCCTGCACAATGTCAGTTCCACCTCCCTCCTCCCGCACGCCGTCTACCAGAGTCAGCGGGTGCGGGTCCGTCCCTTCTTTGTGCAGTGCAAATCCTCCAAGGTGGAGAAACGACCGTCCCTGCTCAGTCGTCTGCACACGTGGATGGTGTGCGGGAAGGATCCCTTCGATGTGGACTGGACCACGCCGGCCGGGAATCTGCTGGCCACGGCGCTGTTCCTGGCCGATTTATTCTCGGATTTTGCCGTGGCGTGGTACCATTTTCAGGAGGGGAACTACGGTTATGCCGGGATTAGTTTTATGATTTTTATCGTACCTATTATTCTGTCGATCGGGTATTACTCTGTTTATAAGAAATATCCATGGTATTTTGCGCATCCGTTCGAGCCGATTTACTGGTAAGAAAATCATATACGTATATGTCACCGCAATCAGGATCACGAGATTTACCGAAACATGTACCAAATCGCTTTAATGCATTTCCTGCAAAAATAAAACTGGAATAATGCCAGCTGCAGGTTTAAATAAAATTTTATATGACAATTTCTCAATATTTTGGTTACTCATCTTGGCATAATTATTTAAGGTACATATTAATTTGTTACAATACAAAAAACAATTACAATTAATCAGTTTGCTAAATTTGGTTACAATATAATTATGAGCTTGATAGTTCTCCTATCATTATTTTTTTAATGGAAAGTAGTAATATTTATTTAAGTTGTATTAATTTATTTGTCGTAGGTTTTGCACGAGTCGCTAGAATTTAAACAATTGCATAGATTATTATTATTGGTTTCGTTTTTTCGCCATTTAATGGTTTTGCAACCGGCAATTAATTGTGTATGCTTGTAAAATTTTTTCAGGCCTTAAAAGAAGTATTAATTTATTTAGGTTTAAGAAATCATATTCGGAGTATCGTAAGGTCGTCGAGCAGCGCAATGAAGATATGGGTCGCGAGGACGCCTGGCTGCATTTCCACACGGTGAAGAGCTTCCGTACATCCAGTTGGGCACGTGTCTCCGCCGTGCGCCTGCAAGTCCACTTAGCGGCTCTGCCGCAATTGCTCTTCCAGTGTTACACCGTCAACGAGCTACTGCACGATCGGGAACTAAAGCGGATATCATGGTTCAGTTGGATTTCCATCGGGCTATCCGTGATTTCACTGTCCATGTACCACCATACGCTGGCTCTGGCGCAGGAAAAAGTCATCGAGAAAGACCACGACCAAGACAATTTCACCAGGAATTCACCAAGTAACTGCCGTATGATATGTGGAGCTATCCGTTTGCTTTATACTGTAATATGTAAACTTTTGGCGGGAATTTCGCGTTTATAACACAGAACGGGTTTTAAAAAATTAGCAAGAATGCTGGTTGTTTTGTTGGGTAATAAATAGATAGTCAAAAGAACCAACCACGCGAAATTTTTCTAATGTAGAATTTCGCGAGAAAATCAGTTAACGAAAGGACGAAAATTTTTCAAAATTAACTGAGTAAGAATAACAGAAAATAAACAGAAATGGCTGAATTTTTTTATAATGCAAGTAGCGCGATTTCTGATGTTTTGTTAGCATAAAAAGGTTTTAAATGATTTTAATAACTAATAAGGAAACTGTTTTTTTCTCCGGTGACAAATGTTTAGTAAAAATGCAATTTTCTTAGAAACGTAAAGTTTGACGGGAATTAAATATGTACCGCGAAAAACTTTACAAAGCTATTAAACCGATGCATGTTTTTTGGCTAAAAGAAACCTGGGATCTCGCAGGCATCCTGCTGGACCTGGTCGGCCAAGGCGTCTTCGACTGCGTATACATCGTGTGTCGCGCCGTGGCCATCTCCTGCTTCTGCACCGTCCATCCGCCCTGGCTGAACGGCCTGGTCTTCCTGACCCTCCACCTGGCGGCCTCCTCCCTCCTCATCTACTTCGCCGGCCCCAAACTCCCCAACCAGTTCACCCCCGACTTCCGCCTGATCCTGTACAACCGCACCAATCACCCGGACATCCTCACCGCCGCCGTGGCCAGTTTGGTCCTGCCGCCGTTGATCAACATCCAGGAGAAGGTTAATATTGAGCTGGAGCGCTCGGAACATGCTAAATCTTCGGCCCAGGAACCGGCCGGGCATTGCGCCCGCATCAGGAGAGCGAGGTTCGCGAAGCATTGGTTGTCGGCGCAGGCGCGGACCTTCTGGGTGGCGGCCATGTTATTGATGGTGGAAACGGAGGCGATCTTGTTGTTCTGGGTGCGACTGAATCCGGATCATGTGCCCGGGCACGCGCGGATTGTGACCATGGCCGTGATTAGTGCCGCGATGTTGGGGGTGCTGGTTGGGCATGTCGTGTATGTGACCTTTATCTGTGTGCCGATTAAGCAGCGCGAACGACTCGTATGCATCCGGAATAAAGGTAAATAATCAAACTCGTAACGATACAATTTAGGTAGGGCATGCGGTAATTCCATTCCCATTAAACTACCGTCTCACTTCTGGATGACTGGATCCACTGATCAAAATTTAATCGTTGATGGTCAATTTTATCGCTGCTATGAAACTCAAATAAAATAATGTCAAAAAAAATGAATGACCCAATTCCAAAATTTGAAACTTACAGAATGCTGAAATTGCTGATGTTGCTAATTTTAAAACTTAGAGGAATGCCAGAATGTGAATTTGTAATATCTGATTTGTACTCACAGCTCTGTGCTCCTTACAGCAAACTTTCAAAATCTTCGGGTAATAACGCTGACTTCTAAGCACGGCATTGTGGTTATTTTTCTGTCCATTTCGATTCGCCCAATTCAACAACAGAATGTTCGCAAGCGCAGAAGGTTTCCGGGCAAATTTGCGTAAATAATTTGATGTAGAACGGTTCTGCAGTCAAATGATTTGCCCATATTCGCCCGGAAAAATACTACTCGTAGAACGGATGGAACAAATTGAACATATAAAAAATGGGCGTGGGAGCGAGCATTTGAATCCATGTATAAGGTACTGGCACCATGTATCTGACCGTTTTCCATCCGCTGGAATATGTGTTGGAGAGAGAATATTGTCCAAACGTCTTTGTAAAAATAAATAATAGTTTTACTGTCGAACAACGCGATACTGTGCAATTTCCTTGGCTAAGAGCGCAACATGTCCTTCGTTTAGCACCTTTGTAAACCAAAATAAATGGCGTCTCGCTTCGGTTACTGCAACCTGGAATATTTTCGGCAGCAATAGTGTTCACTCATTGCAGGCATCGTAGCGAAATGCTGGATTCTGGAGCTGGCCGACGTCCACTACAACTACCTTCAAGAACAGGTCATGCAGCGCCTGATCAACACCGGTTTCACCGTCTTCACCCGCAAAACCAGCAACATCGACTCTCCCAACCGCAGCCCCATCTCCCCGCATCCCGCTCTGTGGCGGGTGGGGTCCGTGGTAGACGATGAAGCCTACCAAGCCCCGCCCGATTACGAAGAGAACGCCCTGGTGTACGATCGGGACTTCCCGGCACGCGAGAGCAACTGCACCCTGACCACGGAGGATCTGACGTGGATCACGGAGACCCTACGGGTTGTCACCGACCAGCGAGAGAAGGGAGATGAACGCCGCGGGTCAATGAGCGGAGGAAAGGGCGAACTTGGGTTAAAATGGCAGCGGAGACACTTTTTCAAGACGATTATCCTGATGGAGCGCCAGTTGACAAAGAAGATCGCTCGGATGGCGCAGCGGCAGCTGGATGAAGTGGTGCGGTTCGGTGTGGTGTTGGATACGGAGGAAAAGGTCCCGTTGACTCAGGAATGCAAGCGTAGGTCGATTGTTAAAATGTCGGACAAAAATAAATGTTTCGCTAAACGCCCAGCGCTATTTGTGCGAATCCAGTACGAGCGTTCCCTGCGCTTTGAATTTGCTTCTGTCATATACACCTGTGAATATTTTATTCGATTTAGCACTAGTAATATCTGAACCACGGAGCGACCAGGCAGTTTTTTGCTTTTTTTTCTATTTTTAAATGTGGTTAGTCTGTCACAGTTATTCTAAATGCTCGATGTGGTTTGCTAAATAAACGTACCGAAGCTGTACTTGTGGCAGCTATACTTTGCAGGTTTGATAACGTTCTGGATGGAAGTGACCTTTCGAGCCATCACCCACCAACCGCTGCCGAACTGTCTGGAGGATATGCCGGCACACGATACCGCCTTGCGCATGCTAGAATGGTACGGGAATGCCACCCGGCGGGCGGAGCCGGAGGTGGTGACTTTTGTTAGTCCTGTGGATGATGATCCGGGATCGCGACGCACTAACGGCATTCTCAACAAGCCGCCAAGTTTGCCCCATTGAGGATTATTAATGCTTTCTTTATTACATGGATTTTCTTTAACATTTTTGTGTACCGTGGCGAAATAATATTACGGTACCGTTATTTGACTTTGTTTTAGTGAAGTCCGATTTAAGAAGAACAAATCATCTTCACACATGTGCAGTAAACTAATAAACCGTTACCATTAACTCCGTTATCTACATATTAGCCTGCAAGAGCCAGAACATTATGTTAAAACTGATTTTTATATTTCATTTTTCGGGTTATTTCCTTCCATTCCATCTTTATTTCATTAACTTTCACAAACTGCTCGCAATCTCTTGAACTTAGTCCGTGCCTATTACGCTTAAAGATGTTTTTAACGCAATAAAGAATTTTAACCCGTGCCTGTTACGCTTAAAGATGTGCAGCCCACCAATGAACGGCACATCATTCTTAATATTTATTTCTTCTCAAGGCTTTACCGCAGTGCGCTACCATCCTATCGGATCGAGTACAGGAACCAAAAGAAAACAATCGCGCTGAATATGTTAGACAAAATCCAGTACAAGGCTTATAAGGTGGCTGCTGCCACAGCTCACGACGCAAGACAACCCGGAAGTATCGACATTTAATGGAGAATGGAGATACGGCGCTAAACCAAAAACCAACCAACTGACAAGAGCGGATTCTGTAGCCAGCGCAGCTGTGCTGTAGACCCGGAAAAGCGTGTAAAACACCAGAAACAGAAGCAGCGAATAGCTAGTGAGGAGGGTGGAGCTACCCACCCTGACAGGCTCATACTCCGATTTCCGAGCATTAACTGGATTTCTGTTTGATGACAGGGATGGCATGTCCCTCCAAACGTAAGTTTTCGCCACATTCTCCTTTAGATGCGACGATGACACCTGCGTTAAGTAACGGCGTCTGGATGCTTCTTACACCAGTGAGCAAAGTAACTGTAATCTTAAGGCGATAACTGCTCCCCAAGTATGTCTTATATAAGCCTGGCGACACTGTAGCTGACAATGCATTTGTTCCGACAGTAATAACAACTAGTATTAAATTAATAATATTAAATTAAATTGTAAAAAATTAAATAATAACTTTAACTAACCAAGGAACATTTTGAGGCTATAAATTCAGAAAATCCTTGATTTTTTGCAGAAAGCTGGAAAACTATTTAGGATGCCTAAAAAATTATTTCATGTGCCAATGGGCGTGGCCAAAACAGATTTTTAAAAGTTAATCCTACACTGTGCTGTAGCCTATAGGCAGTGCACCGCATTATACTTTACGAGACTAATATAAACGTTACTGAACAATCTTCACCAGTACGAGGCCAGCTTACTCGTTCGAAATTTTTATCTGTGCTTCACAAGCGGCTGAGTTGGGAATATTTCTTTGCGTTTGGAGTCTTACGACTTCGACGTAATATTCGAGCAATTGCTAACAGAAATCAAAGTGAATCGTTTACTAAAAAAAATGAACTGCAAACTGTATAATCTCCAGAAACGGGAAACAGCTATTACAGACCACAAGCGAGCAACACAGATACAAATTTGAAACGAGAAAGCTGGCCTCATATTGGTACAGATTGTTCAGTAACGTTTATATTAGTCTCGTAAGGTATAACGCAGTGCACTGCCTACAGGCTGCAGCACATTGTAGGATTAACTTTTAAAAATCTGTTTGGGCCACCGCCATTGGCCATGGCACATGAAATAATTTTTTAGGCAACCTATATGGTTGTTCTAACTCTCTGCAAAAATTGAGGATTTTCTGAATTTATAGCCTCAAAATGTTTCCTGGTAAGCCAACACATCAAGGAATATTAAAAACTTTGGCGCTGTGCTTCGCACACTTACGGGCAGCCCTCGCAAAACAGGCGTTAGAATACGTCCGTCCATTATCCCCACATACCGGAAGATAAACTAGCGGGCAAGAGGTGGCTGTAAAAAAATAACCAGGGAAACGTTTAATTCCCACGACAAAGGGCATAATACATACTGGCGGTACTGTACAATTATTTCCGAAATGCAGCAAATGTCAGCAAACGACTAGCTGCGCCGGGGTATTTGTCTGTCTTCTAAACCGTGATAAGTAATGATTACTTATCACGGTCTAGAGAACGGACAAATACCCCGGCGCAGCTACATGGAGTCCCTTCTATCCTTGTAATTATCTTAACCAACCTGGTGTTGCTGGAACCAGCAACAGAATGAGAGCAATGGCAACACAGACATACATCGTGATGCACGTTTCTAGTTTGCTGATGAAGTCTTACGATCGGGGAAAGATTTTCAGAAAAGCGTTATTAGTATACGGTAATCGCACTATTGCAAACTTTCGAATTGCCAACGCCTGGAGAGATGCTATGAATGCAATAAAACGTGGTCCACGTTTTATATGTTTCGGAATGCAGAATACAATGAATAAACACAAATGAGGATTTTTTGGCGAGAAAGCGGTGAGTCTGAACCTGTGTATGGTATTTCGGCGAAAAGCGTCACACTGCATCCTGATCACCTTGAACAAGCGCCTGCGATGCACGACAGCACTACTGCATGCGGACAAAAAAATCTGACCGCTTGTGAAGCAGCAGACAAGTGGTATTCTACGCTCGCTATACATGGTTTTAGGAAAGGCTTTGTGCCGGTGGAAGCCTGTAAGCCTTATTTTTTACGATAATCATAGCCCTCACTATCAGCTTGGTAAGTCATGCTTTTACCGCTAACGCAAACTGTTATCATCGCGTATAGTTCGCCTTTTTCGATAACGGACCAAATTACCAGTGCATCCTGATTAAAAACGGATCACCGCATCCGCCACACGTGGCGCGTTACATGATGAACTGTGCCGATCGCCTCATCGATTAGCTCCATAGACTGATGTGTTAATTCGTTATTGGGAAAAGTTGGAATACTGGAAAGCCTGGACCTTTGTTCTGGGCTCTGTTATTTCGAAAAACCCTCTACTGCCTGTAAAGGCAGTTGAGCTACTGTGCGTCAGCTGCTTGCACTAGTGTATTGTGGAGCGCCACTGACTTAAGGGATTTGGCCCGGTACATAGTACTAAAATCGTGTACACTGACGGGAATATTCGCTTTCCCGCACTTCCAAACACATTTTTGGCTTGCTTTTAGACATTTTGTGTAGATAAATGATTTGTATACATAGGCGTTAAATCCGTTTGCGCGCGCAACATCCGGTTGCGGAGTTATGAGGGTAAAAAATTCTAAAAAGGTTAAACGCATTCAGATGTACCAAAAGTCTCATTATGGAGCGATCCCGTTCAAATTTCGAAATAATGCACAGTACGATGAAGATCGTTTTTCACCGATCCAGACTTCCACGATTTTTTGCAAATTTTAAAATGAATTTTAAAATTTTTGGAATTCATTTTAAAATATGCAAAAACTGCCAGAACAGCAGATCGGTGTAAGAACGATCTTCATGGTCATGTGCATTTACGTGCAAAATCTGGAAGGGATCGGTCCATAAATGAGACTTTTGGTAAACCTGAATGCATTTAAACTTTTTGGAATTTTCTTACCCTCACAAGTCCGCAACCGGATGTTGCGCGCGCAAACGGATTTCACACTTACGTATACAATTCTTTTGGCTACAAAATACCATAAGGCATTGCAGAAAAGTGTTTGGGAGTGCGCGGTAGCGAAAGTTCCCGTGAATGTACACGAATTTGGTGCTATGTACCAGGCCAAATCCCTTAAGGGTGATGCGTGACCCGATACATGACGCTAAATTTGGGTATCCAAAGAAACTTTCGTGCACTTTCAAACACGTTTTGGGATTGCTCTATAACATTCTGTAGCCAAATGATTTGCACACATAAGGGTGAAAACCGCTTTCGCGCGCAACTTCCGGTCGCGTAGTTATTTGCATGAGAGCAACAAAATTCCATACTGTATGCGCGATGGAGGCGTTGCCCTGAGGAAATAATACTTCTTCATAAAAATTAAGTTAACCTGTACCGTACGGTCATCATGCAGTGCGTGTATGACAGTGCTGGGGAAGACGAACGCCACAAAGTTTGCACATTTTGACAGCGAAAGCGGTTATCATGTTGCTGACGTTGGCAGAACTGTGCGAGCGCTGGAACTCCAAATGATATTTTAGGAAGCAAGCTCTTTCGACCGATAAACTAAAGAATGCCCGGTGAAACCATTCAAAGCGATCTAAGAAAAACCGCATTTGTATCACACCGACACGCTATGACCGAGTCAATATCCATTGCATAGACTGTTTTCCGGAAGCACGTCACTGACAAATATATAATCGTCTAAATTCCTGGAATTATTTAATGTTATCCTACTTCGCAAATTTGGCGGCGCTTTGCATGATCATAAGACAAAACGACTGTAAACAATGCTTTCCCCTTCATATCCTCTATAGAGGTGGTAACAGGTACACAGGTCCAATCATCCCATGTCTAAGCATTACGTATTGATCTCGGCTATTAATTCGCCTCCAAGGCACTGGAAGACATTAAGCAAGACGCTTTGCTGCATATTCCTTATTTTTAAGTTTTCTGTTCCAAAGGATTATCATAATACTGTAATATCCTACAATCATCACAATTCAAATGCGTTTGCATTAGCGAGGCAGTCATACTTAATATCATGAATTATTAGACCCCGTCAGTATTACGTTTCAATATGACGTTTATTTAATTTTTAAATTCTCCATCCATGACAAACCTACAGCCTTCTTGTTACGAAAAATCTGACCTTGTGGCTTGTATGACGATGTACTGCTGCAGATTTTGCGTCCAGCAGTTCGTACAGATATGCTGTGAAAACGTGGGTACTGTATAAGGTAATGCTGCCTAATTAGTGGTTAAATAACGCCGTTATGACAGGTTTCTCCATGTACACTCTCAATGCCAAATGCTGTATCATCCGCTCTAAAACGGCAGTATATTGCGTGATCGACAGAGATTAACCGTCACGGACAAAACTGCATATTGTATGGCTGCTGTTCCGCCAGCTCTTCTACTAAAGTGGCTCATTGTCCCATTTTCCGGGAAAATTTCAACATTATTGTTATTATTTCCGCAGAAACGGAAGCCCTCCAGATGGCACATCTACCTACACTGCGTCGGTTTCTCCGTTCTCATTTGCCAACAAGGAGCGTTACATGATACCCTATACGGACGTATAACTACCATGCTTCCAGCATAAATTCTTGCAGATTGTCTCCGCACTGTGGGAACAAGAAAATACGTTCAATCTGGGCGGTGAATAATTACCGCCATGAACGCCACGAACGACAGTTTTTTATTGTTTAACAGCACTAAATTTACCTCGACGCCCTCAACAGAACTGTTAACATTATGGGCGTCCTGGTACCTAACTTTCTGTTACGGAGGCGCCGTTTCCAACAGCCTGGTAGCCGGGTTAATCCTCGCCAACGTCCGGCTGCGTGCCGGTTGCGGACTGCTCATCGGACACTATCTTATCGCGCATGCCGCACTGTGTTTTCTCAGCTATCCGGCCATCGGCATCATGATTTACCAGAAACTGATGTTGCACTGGGATTTGGAGATCCGCTTCTGCGGCATTCTCATGTGGATCCACATGACCATCCGCTATGCTGGCAACTGGATCGAAAGCTATGTTGCCATAAATCGCCTCGTCGCGCTGTGTTTTCCCTTCCAATACCGGCGTTTTGCCAATCAGCGATTAGAGCAGTTAATGGTGATTGTCTTGTGGGTGACGGCGGGATGTCTTGCGTGCCTCGGGTGTTTTGATCTGGGCGTGGTCTACGCCAAGAGCCCGCTGGGCAGTTGTGGAATCTTACAGAAAGATGGTTTCGGTGTGTTGACCTTTGTGGTGGGATACTACGGTCCGCTGGGCGTGGCGGCGGCTGCTTACTCGGTAATCTACCTCAAGTTATTGCTGGACCGGCGAAGGCGGAAGAAGATCCGACAGGCAAACCAGCGGAACGGGTTTCAAAAACCGAACCGAAAACGGGTGGTGAAGGCTAACATGATGTTTGTGGCGTTTTTATGGAACAGCGTATGCTATTTGGTTTGGCCAATGACGTTGACAGTGTCGCCGGAGCTGCAGCGACAGCGTCCGTTGGTGGCATTGTTGTTGGGATCACTGCAGATGGTTGGCTACGTTACAAACCCGGTAACGTAATGATGTTAAATGAAACATTAATCAGGCTTTTCTATGGATGCTTTATTTGCTAAGGGAAGCAGCGCAAATCGAAATCAGCTTCGTAGTACTTTCCTGAACTCTAAAGCCAAGTTATATGAAAGAAAGCAAATAAAATTTGTAAGAGAATCTAGTTTTTGCAACGATTTTTGTTTCTCTTGTCTTCCTAGATACCTGTATGTGTTCTTTGATATAAATTTGCTATCAGGTCAGATGATAATCTTGATTTAGCGGCACTACAGACGGTACCGGGCTTCAGCTTGTTATCCATTTTATTGTCGCTGCCTCTCGTTGTCAGCCGGTTCCGCTCAGAAATAGCTTTTAGGTGAAATTATAGAAGTTCTCTGACTACAGCATAACGCGTGTTGCAGATATATATTAAAAAAAAATAAATACAGAAAGTGAGTTGAAGCGCTTACTTTTCTTGAAATTTTTTGTAGCTTATCTTCTTCGCAATGTGCGCGGAGTACCGGGCAGAGTGCGTACGGATATTTACCTTATTTTGGAGCAAGTGTATTACACGACGCGATACGTCAACATCAGCGCCCAATATCACGGCGATGGATGGAAATATTTGATTGGGACAATTCAATGCTAAGGAGGAGAACCGTTCCACGGCTTCGTTCCAAGATAAATAATGTTCAGGCCCTGTGGGTGACTTTTTCCAGGATGCGGTATCATTGGAATCTGGCTGGCTGCTTCTCAAAGCGAGGCAGATATTCGCCGGATATGGAAGCGCACTGGAACTGTTCTACGTTTTCCGATTGCGTGACTGAGAAAGGTCTGGGTTCTAATGCACAATCTCATGAAATCCACACTCTCTGCCTGACTTTGAACTTGTCGTCTGTCTGGCTGTGAATGTGATACCATCAGGCCGCAGCGGATCAGCTTATGCTCACAGCAAAGATTAACTGCATTTTTACGAGTACATTGCCATTTTGTTATTATGTAAACGACAGCGCAATGAAAGCGCTGAATATATAACTGCTGTATTCTGTGCTTAGCTGTCACGCGCAAAAGACGTGATGTCTGCACTCATATTTGCTTCGCTTAAACCCGCTGCCTCTATTACTGTATGGTTACTGGTCGCCAGAGAGCTTACGGTTTTCATACAACAACTGCAGTCAGTTTGTTTAAGGTTATCCTAATAATACAGTACTATACCAGGTCTAATCGTTTTGTAGGTACGCGTACTTAATTTACCTGCAAAGCGGAAACGTGGTAACTAACGCAAATTATTTAAGCGACGCACCTTGTACACAAAGATGGAGAATATATCCACAGATAGAACGAAATAGTGTGCGTGTAAAGCGCAAATTTTCCTTCTGCTACAGAAGAGGCCATCCGGCAAATGGAAAATCGGAAACGGCAAAAGTTATAGATTCTAGGCGCCCCGCGCTCAAGCTCAGACCGCTCAAACGCTTACCCTCAAAGTCTGACTCTGACCGCAACACTTCGACCACTAAAACTGTCCACCAGTAAAAACAGGTTCTTAGGTTTACATTGGATTTCCTATGTTCTTAGGTTTCATAGGTTGTTATGTCCTAAGTCCTAGATTCTTAGGTCTTTCTAAAGTGGCTAAGGTCACGTTTCTTATTTAAGCATTCTTACGTTTTCAAAAAATCATTAAAACAGAAAAATAACATAAGAAACCTAAGAATAACCTAAGAGACCTGAGAAACCTAATAAACATAAGAAACACAAGAGCAAACTCGCAATAACCTAGGAAAGGTTATTAAGGAGTGAGCTTAGGAAAGTACCTTTTATTTCCAAAAACGCGATAACAATATCAAGAATCAGTTTCGGTTGAAGAAATCAACAATTTCAACCGTACCAGTAGCAGAAGCGGCATTACCCCTTTGAACTGGTAATGAAATAATATTCTGCCTTAAAACTCATAGCTTCTTATCTCGCCGGTTTGTAACTCGATCCTCCTTCCGACTTCTTTGAGCAGCTTCTTAGCCGATGTACCAAAACTACCAAAAGTCTCGAAACCAAAAGCGGCAAACTCATATCGTCCTGACAGGAAGCTGTACTTCTTCATTTTTTCCGCTTCAGCATGGTCGGCTGCCGCTCCGGCCTTTACGCTGGTTAGGTCCAAGTGAGAGCGGGCGACAGTGTCGACGCAGGTTACGTCCCATGCTAAGCATAACCCTCGGGCCCAAGGGAAGGTAGTGATTCCATCTGGGCGTGTGTCGTTTTCGTAGTGCATACCTCTAGGCTCCGTTCGCGCGGGGATGCCTGCTGAACCCAAAGCCCGACGCAGAATATCGTTGATGCAGTCGTGTCTTGGCCTTCTTCCAGCTGAAAATTTGCAACTTAGGCCATGGTGGCCGTTAGCGGCGACATCGGTACCACACCTGCACTGGTGTTTGGCGGAAACAGTTGCGCCCAGACGAATGGCAACGGTGATGCGGAAAGATTCGTCGTCCAGGAGATTACCGATGGAGGACGAGGGTAGTGCGTGGGTCCATACACCGGACTCTGGTGTTGAAACAGCCAGCAGCCGTGTTTTGTTAGTGGCATCTGACGCTTCGTACAGCAGAGTTGCCTGCTCTGCTAAACAGTAAGGCGTATCCCAAGCACGTTGTAAATGTCTGCTTTCGGAGAGAGGCGGCGAAGCGTCGTCAGAGAGATAGCTCCAAAGTGCAATGTGGTCATCCGCGGCAACTCCTGTTGAGTGTGGCAGTAGTTTGGAAACCAGGCTACGGGTATGTCGTGTACGTTGCTTTCCTAGCAACTACTGTTTTACTTCTTACTTCTTTTTGCTGCACTTTCTGTCATTCTACCTGCTGCGCGGTTCCTGTTCACTTCATTAATTATGTAGTATTAATTAACTATTAAAGTATTACTTATACAATACTTCACATTGGCGTGAAGAATTCGGATTCATGCTTACTAATTTCTCCTACGACTACACTCTACGGTCATAATCTGCCATGGGAGGGATCCAATGCCGATTCCGCATGCACTCGCCTGGCAGCCTGCCACCGCCCCACAACTGTTCGGCAGCGGATGCTCTGCCACCCTTTTCCCCACGATGCTGGTGGATATTATTTACTGCTGGTACCGCCCTGCCAGTACCATAGCGCTGCCAACGGATCTTCGTTCCGTGTAGTTGCCTGAACGTGCACTGCCAAACTGCTCAACGTAATGCCAATCGTCTTTCTGGATCTGGATGGAGCCAATTCTTCGTAACGCCCTGATGACCTTGCAGAGCGCTGTTTCGCACTACACGTCATTTTCGGGAATTTCCATTCAGTTGCTGTTGGTTGTTGTCATGGCCTGCGTTCACCATTGTTCTATGCAGCGTTTGCTCTGCAATCCAGTAATTCCGTACAGTACGTATCCTTGCTTACCTCCTTCCGCATTCCGCAGAACAACCTGAACGCGTTATGTACGAATGTACAGTACGTCCTATCCTGGAGTACAATACACAGTATCGTACAATTTTACACCGTTGTTCGAGCCGACTACGCAATGGTTAAATCCTTCGTATGGCGCCTTACACTTTGAAGTTGGATAACCATGCTATTACGGTTCGTATGGTTTACACCGTATTTCCTGCACTTGGATGATGCGATGAATTCAACTCGCATTCCTGTTGCCGTTCCAGTTCGGTTGCCTGGATCCGGGATCGTACTCCTACATGTACCTTACAATGCAGTGCAATACTTTTACTTATACGGATTAATTCTGATAGTACTTTCATAATGGTACAGTTTCGCGTACGCTTCTATAATTACATCTTACTTTACATTCCGTGCAAATTCAATGTACGTACAAATTACAATTTCCGATACTTAATTTCGTATCACTTTCGATACGTGGGGACGAGTTGTCGTGTACGTTGCTTTCCTAGCAACTAGTGTTTTACTTCTTACTTCTTTTTGCTGTACTTTCTGTCATTCTACCTGCTGCGCAGTTCCTGTTCACTTCATTAATTATGTAGTATTAATTAACAATTAAAGTGTTACTTATACAATACTTCACAGGGTAGCATGAATCGAGGCCAAATAGGCCGGCAATGATAATAGGAAAGGAAAGTTAAGGCATTAGGAAAGTTAAGGACAACTAAGGAAACTTTAGAACCTGTTTTTATTGGGCTGAATCAGAGGATCGGTGGTCAGAGAGTAATTGCGGTCCGAGTGAGATCTGAACAGTCAAAATGTTTGAGTGGTCAGTCTAAGAGTCAGAGTTTGAGCGTGGGCAATTCTAGCCGAGCATTCCGTGTTGTATCCTTTCATTCATGGAGACGCTAGCGGTTTTGGTGGAATCGTGGAAGCAGCAAAAGTAATTGTCGGTTGGACGTACGAAATCGACAAAACCGTCCTGTTGAATGGAGCGTCCAAGCTGTCTTTTTCTGCTGTTGACAAGCCGGTAAAACCGTCCGCGGGTGAAAAAATCCAGGTCCGCTGTAATTTTATCCGACCAATTGTCTGTGCCATTTTCGATAGAGTGAATCGTTCGGACTGCGAATCCTTTCGGATTGCCATTCCGGGCTATCGTTTCGGGGACGGTCGCTTTTCCCGGTTACTGTTACTTGTATCAGTTGTATGTGTCATGTTCGTAAGTATGTATTGTAAGATTCTATTATCTTCACAGCAGGGCAACCGAACGACAACTAAATCTAAAAGTATGTAATGAGACTGCCAAATAAAGCAATCGTACTGCTATTCGGGGTACATAAGCAGATGACCTGTTTACGGACAAGGGCAGTCATATGCATGTCAATATGTAACTGTAAAGAAAGCACTATGAGAATATCACAGTATGCATACCCCAACGAAAAGTTAGACGAAAGCAGATCAATGACAGTTTTTAGCAACGGATCAATCTAGCTATAATGGCCGTCTCTAGTTCTTTCCGGGCAAAAATAAATGGTTCACAAACGATCGATTACAGCTGCTCGTAGCCGTTATCAAGGCTAATAGTGTTAGAGCAAGACTTACACACAGAATGAAAATAGATTACGAAAATGT